ACTCAATTTGGTCAATTAAAATTGCATATTTGTTGGCCACAATTCATTTTTCAGGCAAATGTGTGCTTGTTCTTACATTCTGCCTCTGAAATTCATTTTCAGATTTAATAATTTTATTCTTTTTGGCGTTGCACTTCAATATTTCCTTTGCAGCAAATTTTTTCTTTTTTGGTTCTGTTTCCTACTGTATTAGTTATTTTGTGGAAAATGTGAGAATTTGTAAAAATTAAAAAACATTTTTCACATCTGCAGTAAAACAGTTATTATAGCCCCAAATTACTATATCCACATCGGCATTTATAATGCAAGATTTCAATTAGCGCTGATTTAAGTCAAAAGGATTAGAGTTTTTACAGTAGTCGCCACCAATCTGGTTTAAGAGTATAGCAAACAATTTATACTAAATAACGTTGAGAATTATAATTTTTACTTACGAACGGAGTTTTGGAGTTATTTATGATAGGAGAATAAGAATATGAGATTGCTAAGTGAATAATGCGGCTTGAACGTATTGACTTCGTGCTTTGGAGTAAAGTTATTTGGAAATATTTAGAATTACATTATTACATTATACACTTGATAAGATTACAACAATCACTAATAGTAAATCATAGCAACAAGTGATTTAGTAAATATTTATATTTCTTAAGTATTTAAAAGAAATATAAAAATGAGAACTATACATTAGGTTAGTTTATATCGGCAATCAACAAGGATCCACTTAGACCATAAGCGCATTGTGTTAAAGTGCAAGAAAAAACTTAGAAGTTTACAACCAACTTCAATCTTTGACAAAGCCTATAATGCTATTAAACGGGAGGTCTTCCAGTTGACTGAAATCTTCAAAAAAGACGGACTCTAGAGTGGTAAGGTGGTGCCACGCATATGACGGGAGACACCGTCCTCTCCACAAATGCGACATGCACAATTAAAAGGAAAATTAAATATTCTAGCATGGTTCCCTAATCAGCAATGACCTGTGAGTGAACCAACTACAAAAGTGATATCTTTAAGGAGCATCTCAATGAGAATATTAGATGTTCATTTAATGAAATATATGCCAAATTGCATACAGATGCTTACTTATCGTTCAGTTTTACCATATTTTATTAAAAATTTCTGCACAGAGAGAACTCAGTAACAGTTTCTATAATATTAGCGATATGCCCAGATTGCTTAGGTGTTGCGTGTGGTTTCCTGAAGCACCTCGTCTATCTAGCTCATCTGCATTAAAGATGAATGGACTTACAAGAAGAAGCATGTTATCTTTTCAACATTGCATACTTCAATCGATTAACGAAATTTAAGAAACCTCATGATTATATTGGCATTATTTGTCTTTTAACAATACTATATAAATAACTGTAGACAAACTGCTCGTGAATTATATACAAATTTATAATTACAATAAACCTAACCAATTTTCTGCAGCTTTAAAATTTTTTAACATTTAAAATAAATAAAATATTTTAACTTTTTAAGAGTCCAGAACTGCAGTTAACTAGACCTTTTGGATAATACATAGACAGAATTGGCAAGAGAGTGACGAATTTGTAATTGAGAAGTGTCGCAAGTCGTGTATTCTTCCATGAGTATATCATTAATTATAGTATAAATTTTTAAGATTTAAATTTTATGTATCTTCACATTATAATTTAATAATTTTTTTTTACCCAGTGTTGTGGCAAAAGGGGGTTATACTAGACCAGGGCTATCAAATGTTTGTGCGGCCCGCTGCTTGTTTCTAATCTACCACAATATTTATGCTATTCAAAATTAATTAATTTAAATTAATAAATTAATAAAACTAAATTCAACATTAAAACCGTATTTTTATTTTCCTCCAAAACAAATATGAATGTATGTATTTGTGTTTGCTGGTCTCTAGTTTGTACAGTGATTTGTATTACCCCGCGATCGCATCTGTTCTGGACAGCTCTATACTCTATACTAGACAGCTCTATACTAGCTCTATACTAATGTTAATATTTTTGCAATACATTATCTGTATATTAAATTTTTAAATGGTGACATCTATTCCTAAATCTCACAAACGTCTCCTTACCGATAACGCCACATATTACTAATATAAATCTTTCATAAGAATAATCTTTTAATTCCTTAATAAATGTATTCCAACGTAGCTGGAAATCATAAATAATTCAAATTGAAATGATAGACCTCTGTATGCCAGTATGTATGAAATCAAATTTTGAAGTACATCTGAACTGCAAACTAAAGGTTCTTAAATTTTACAATTTCATCGCATTAAATTTGGAAGAGTAGAAAAATTTTTTTAAAATTTGAAACATTTTATAATTTATTCTGTTTTAAAGTAGCATTAAAGAACTTTCCTTATAATTCATTCCAATTATTTTGAAGGCATTTTATCATCAAATTATGCATTTCGTACCCGCATAAAGAGTATTTCAGCTTAAAAATTCATGCAGTGCAAGTCAAAAAGAATAATATATCATCTTCATTCATTTTTATATGAGAGATATTTAAAAATTTTATATTAATTAGTAAACATATTCTGAAGGTGTTTTTGGAAACACTTCAAATTTTGTGTATTACACACCGCATCACAACACAACACACTACACGTACTGGCAAACCAAATAACGTGAAAGAGCGAAGAAGATTCTGAAGACACGAAAACGGTTGGACTCTAATTAATGGTACGATGTAGAAACAAATTTAATTTGTGACAACCTCAAAAAATGTCAAATATATTTTAGGAAAAATTTATAAACAAGTTTATGCATATTTTTTGCATAATAAAAATTATAAAAATTAACGACAGAAGGTGAATCACTTTTTCGGTTTACAAGAAAAATTTGCTTACGAAATAAACCAGATATATGCGAAGAAATTCTTTTACTGCAAATAAATTTATGAAAATATGGATTCACAAAAAAAAAAAATTAAATAAAATAAAAGTTAACATAAGATTTAAAAAAAAAACTAAATGAGAAATTTGCATAAGTTATGACAGGAATCAATTTCGACCGCAAAATAAAAATTACCAATAATTACCAAACATTAATTTAATTTTCGACTTGTTTTAGGTTTTGTTTCCTTACTGCTTTTAAACGTCTGTGACGTCCCATAAATTGAAGGTATTTGCTTCATGAAATCAAAACATAGCACACAAGGGCTTTCAAAAGTCATGTTATTGTGGCACTGGT